CATTAATGTTTATCCGAACCGAACCTCGGACCGACACGTGTCACTGAYCCCAGTCTGGACTTTAACACCGGGACGGTTCGAGCCGTTCATTTATCTGCTCCACAACAAACACCAAGCTAAACTCTTCACATGTATTTATTAATAAACACAAACAACAAACAACAGCTTGTTTACTCCGGACACTCGTTCTTCAAACTGCGCATGCTCAGAACAACCAGCGACACAAACTTTCAGCTGAGCAACAAGAAGCTCGATAAGAAAACACAACCTGACCAACATGAGGGTTCGGTCCCGGTTCTGCTCAGCCGAACACATTTACTGATCAACAATAATCATTACAAACCGGTCTCACCGGGTTCATGGTTCCGTTTCTGCTCCCGCAGCGCGAACTCGCCAGCAGCAGAAAAACACGGAAGCAGCTCCGAGAGCGCGCGTTTTCACTGACGGAACGAGTTACGGCAGAACACCAGAGAGCCGCACAGAACGCTGCAGGTGTTACACACAGAACGGTTCACTCCGTTTGATGAGCGACAAAACCAGTCCGACCTGAGCCCTTCAAAATAAAAGTATAACGTAGTGAACGCGTTTCAAAGATAATTACAATTCATAGTTTTATATGTAACTTAAAATTCAGTTACTTAATACAATTATAAAAGCTTAAAATAAGCAATTATTACATAAAAATCAAATACAAAAATCTAGTAATAAATCAGCTGCTGGCACATATCTGGAACACATTTTAGTTTTTTTTCTTTTAAAAATTCATCTATTTACTTCTGTTTGCTTATGAAACCTTTCCTGTTTTGTGTAACTGAAAATTAGGTCAAATTATTTCCACATTCCTGCACAGAAAAGCTGCAGTTTATCCTGCTGAAAATGATACTTTTGTTTTAACATCTGGAGATTTCAACACATCTGTTCATTTCAAATAGTTTATTATAAAAAGCATCAAACAAAAGAATGAGGCAAAAATAAAATYCTTATTGTACTTTTGTTTAAATGAATGTTCAGGTTATAAAGTTAAACTAAACATGGATAAAACTTTACGAAGTGAAAAGTTCAGTTTCCTGTTTCAGGAGTTTCAAAATAAAGTTTAAAGTCAGTTCAGAAACAGCTGCAGCTTCCATTGCGTCCTCAGATTGTTATGATCCCTCTCAGAGCCCCCCACTGCCTCAGACCGAGGGTCTGACGTGTCCYTCACTTGGCGGTGGCGTTCCCGTGCGGCGGCGGCTGCTGTGGCGGCTGCTGCTGCTCGGCGAGCGCCTGCTGCAGCCGCGTGCGTTTCCTGGAGTAATGCTGCCAGTGCAGCAGCTGCTGCTCGTCGATGAACTTGGCACACTGAGCGTTGACCAGCTCCTTCCTGAAGTGTTCGTACTGCAGCAGCTCCAGCATGTGCAGGCAGTGAGGATACCTGGGGAGGGAGCAGCGGCAGTTTGGAACGACTCGACAAATAATGCAACGACTCGACAAATGATGTAACGACTCGACAAATAATGCAACGACTCAACAAATAATGTAACGACTCGACAAATGATGTAACGACTCAACAAATGATGTAACGACTCAACAAATAATGTAACGACTCAACAAATGATGTAACGACTCGACAAATAATGTAATGACTCGACAAATAATGTAACGACTCGACAAATAATGTAACGACTCGATCAGCAGGTGAATAAACAGTCCTGAGACTCGTCTTACTTGAGGAACTTGGCGTATTCGGGCTCCTTCCAGTACAGCAGGTACTTCAGGTAGTTGATGAAGGGTCTCTCCCTCAGGTAGCCCCTCTGAGCCAAAACTGCAACACAAACAGCTCCACATCAGCTGAAGAAAAACTAATAAACAGATTGTTTCTCCCC